GTTTGAGAATTTTTTCTAATTCTGCTACATCTTGTACTTGAGCATCTGGAATGCACATTTTTTTCTCACAATCATTTATTTTTTGCTGACGAATTTTTGTGAGTCCATATCCTCTTTTGACTTGATCAAAATGTTCTACTACTTATTGAGCTACATAATTAAGTACTCCTTCTTTCATGGGCATTAGTCAATTAACATCTGGCTTTCGAATTCGATACAGTCCATATACTACTGTATTACTGTTAAGTCTTCTTATTTCAGATTGTTCACTAACTTCTCTAATTAAAAATTTTTCATTTATTCCTATCCAAAATTCTGGTTTTGTTTTCTTTGTGAGTATAACGTTTGAACCATCCCGGATATATTTAACACCTACCTTTTTTGATTCACGAATAGGCTCATATTTATCAATAATTTTAAAAGCTATATTTGTTTGATGTTTATCTCCATATACAGAATCATCTTGAATGAATTTTATCTTTATTAAGAACTCGCTATTATCAATCGCATTTAAAATTTCTTGAGTCCACTTTTCAGTCATCTTAGCTTCATACTTTCTTGATTTTATTTGATCTTTCACATTTTTTAACCATTTTTTACTCCCTTTATCTGATGCTCTATAAGCTTCTACTATCATTTCTAGGTTTTTATTGATTTCTTCTTTTGAATAATTATGATATAGGCATTTCAAAAATACAGCTTACATAAGTTCATCATCTTTTTTTACTTCTAATATCTTATTGATCAAATTGAGCTCTTCAGCTTTTGTAAATCAGATTGAGAAAGCATATTCAGCTCCGTCTACTTTGAACATATCCCTTACAGTCTAAATTTCATTTTGTCATATTGTATGATGTTCTTTGTCATTGGGAAATGGAATTGACCAAGACACTTCTATATCTAAATTTAGAAATCTATCTTTGCGATTAAGTAATTCTTGAACAGGTTGCAATTTTATATTATCTAATGGTGTAGTTTGTTAAGTTACTATTTCTTCTGATTCAATAAGTCTACCTTCACGATGAACTTGGGTTTGGGGACTTGAACCAACTTCAGGATCGATTTTTGGTTGTACTATTGGAGATGACTCATGCTAAAAATTTGTTTCCTCGATTTCAGACTAATTAAAGAATCCTTGCTCTTCATGTAATTCTTTTTCTGTTGTAGGTCGAAAATATGTATTTGGATCCAATTGTAATAATTCATCATAAAGAGCTTTGGTTTTGGCCAAATTTTTTTAGCTGACCACAATCCTTATCACTTAATTCTTTGACTCTTTTTCGTAATCTTGATCTCCATTGTTTGACAGACTCACCTGATTTTCTAGCATTGGGATTTTGAGACTACAAATTTGAATTGATTATAGGTTGAGTATTACGAGATAGTTGCAATAAAGCTAGATATGGCCTATTTCGTGTTAGGTCCATATGTTTATTAAGATCTCTTGTTTTTTCAGTTTTAGGGTTCCATCCACATCCTGAATATTTTTCTACCATATTTTCTGATGTTTTTTATTATATATTAATTATTCAAATCTTTTGTTTAAATAAAAAATATTTATTTCATTTATATATTTTACTTACTTATTTGCTGTATATATTTTTTTTTAATATAATAAATATCTAACTCTGAAATTTATAGGTGAGTACTAGAATCTAAAAGAAAGACTAATCATTATTAATATCAAATAGATTGTAGGTTTCAGAAATATGACTTCAATGGTATACGTGTTGCCCAAATCCCAAATCATTTGGAATTTGGGATGCCAAAATTTCAAATTACTAGTATTTGGGATTTGGAATTTGGGATTTTGGCAAAAAATACTAATCATAATTTAGGATTTGGGATTTGGGATTTCAGCATTTGGGATTTTGGCATTTGGATTTTGAATTTGGGTGGCAAGTATATTCAATGGTTATTCCTCTATATCTTCTTCACTATCATAAAGATAGCTAAAATCAAAATCAGATATTTCATTTATTTTAATTTCAATATCATCTAAAAAGTTCATATAATTATATATAAGTTTTCTTAGGTCTTTAGAAAAAATATTATGTAGTATAGGAGGACTATATATTTTTAATGATGTAACTGAATGAAAAATATCTTCGACTTAAGAATATATAGTTCTAAGATGATTTTTTACCTCAGCTCTACCATAGGATGATACATTATTAAATCATTTAACCCAAATATTAAAACAAAATTTATATAATTTTATAAGCATTCGAAACCCTTTTGAATGTCAGGTATTATTAACAGCAAGAATCTTAAATAGGTCATCATCATTAGAAAAATGAAAAAATATATTTTTCAAAATTTTAGGTATTAATAAAGCACGTGTTACAAGAGAATTGTTAGAGGTAGATACAAAGTATCTAACATTAGTTTCCACATTCATAATTTATTTAGTTCAATTAAACTTGAATAGAAATATAAATAAGTGTTTAATAAATTTTATTATGAAATAATGGTACTCACGTACATCTGAATTAAAGAGGATATTAACTATAATTATTTAGCTTCAAATAATAAAATTACAAGGCGAGATTCTAGAAACTTTAACTAGGCAAGAATGCAATATAGATTTTAGACATTTAAAGAATAGTTTAAGTTCAAATAACTATACAAATAATTAATATAAATTTTAAGGGTTTAAGTGCTTTTTTAATCAAGAAAGCAAATTACATTTTTTAAATTTTAAATCATTCCGCTCTGTCAAAGAAGTAAATTATAGTTCATAAGTTTTAAATCGTTCCGCTTTGTCAAGAAAACAAATTACAGTTCTTGAACTTCTAGAAGCTAGTTTAAAAAAAAAAAAACCTTTTCTAGAGCATGTTCCTAAGTATCGTTTTCTGATATATATCAAAAAATATTATTGATTTTAACAATTTTAGCTCTAAAAACTCACAAACCAAAGGTGTATAAAAAAAGAAAAAAAATACATCCATCAATAAAAAGTCTACTTGTGTTTCCTGCTGCTGCCTCTTTCTTTTTACGAAAATAATATAATTTTATTTATTTTGTTTAGAAAGAGATTTTTTTATTTGAATCTCATTTTCTTCAACTTTGTAAAATTTAAAGATTGTTAATTTCATTTAGATAAATTATTAATTAAATGTAAAGATTTTATATAAAAATAATCATTCATTTATTACTAAAAATATAAGTAATTACCATGTGTGTAAACTTCAATTTTTTTTTTTGGTTTTCAAAAAGACAAATGTCTACTTGTATATATTGCTTCAGGATGCATTTCATTTGGATCTGAATTATCTTGAATAAAATTCTTGTTTAATTTATTTGTTTTTTTAACTTGTTTATTTATTTGGTTTCTTATTTTATTATCATTTAAAGAATATTTATCAAGTTGAAAATGAGAAATTTCACACTTAATTTCAGGTTTAAGCCCATTGCAAATTTTCATTACAAGATTTACATCATGTGAAATATATAATATGGGAGATAACTAGTTAGAAAAGAACTTCTTATCAAAAAAATAAATGTCAGATACTTGAGTTTATTCTACTCTACTCAATGTCTCAGGTGTCATGTATGGAATACCATAAATTTTTTATGGATTATTTTCTGTCTGGTTTGCACAGTCCAAAATCAGTACTATAACATAAAGTTAAGACTTGGTTAATTATATTTCAGAATGAAAATTAAGCCCATTTTATAAGTCCATTTACTATTGATAATAAAATATTAAATTTTCTTCTCCAATTTAAAGATCCAAAATTGGTATTTAACAGTTTTTGAAGACTCTCATATTTGTATAAAACATAACCATCATATATTCATTTTTATTGGATTTTTAGTAATGTTATACTGTATATAGATATAGCAATTGCATTTTTGCCTTGAAATTTAAGTTGATTTTCAATCTAAAAATATTTATTAGTATAAATAAATATAATTATTATATAATGTAAGTATAATGAAATTTAAAATAATGTTACCTCTTGCAAAATTCATTTTTATTTGTGGAATCATCAAAACTTTTTAAACGAATATTTTTTTCTTCTGACCTTTTCCAATTTTCTACTTTATATAATTCCAAGAATAAATATATCTATCAAGCCATTTTGCTTTGGCTTTGTATACTGGCATTCTCAAGTCTGTCAATGGAATCCACTCTATAATTTCTTGATATTTATTTGCATTTAATTGTATTTGTTAAATAAATTTGTTTTGACATTACATGGAGTATTATCAAGATTACTAAAAAATATTATTGATAATTAATTGAAGAATTTTTATATTATTGAAACATTGATTTCAATAATTATGAATCTAAATACTCACGACTAATATGGTTTATATTAATTAATTAATTAAAGGATATTGAATTAAATTGATTTCAATAATTATAAATTTAAATACTCAATAATTTATATTGATTAGTTTATAATTGATATTGAGTTAAATTGAAACATTGATTTCAATAATTATTTATCTAAATTCTCACTCCCTGTAATATAATTTAGATTGATTAGAAATGTAATTAATATGTAATTATTATTATTTAGCAATAAATTATGGTTTTTCTCATTTCTTTCATTTCTTCGATTTCTTTAACTTTTTCCATTTCTTCTCTTCTTTAAAAAGCAGCTACATTATCGCACATTTGTACAACGATAATGATTACAGAACAGATTTGATTTATTTGAATTTGTTATTTATCAATTTTTAATTTTTTTTCTATCTAATAAATATTTAAAAATGCTATCATATCTATTAATTTATCTTCTTTTTAAACCATATACTTTATAATCCTTTAAATGTCCCAGGAGGTCTTATTATTGTTATTGTTATTGATGCTATTATTATTGCTATTAATATTATTATTATTTGCATTATCATTGCTATTGCTAATATATTTGGATTATTAGATACAAAATATACTGTAAAATTTTTTTATTAAAATTTATTAACAATTAAATATTTATTTATTATTACATTACATTTACATTACATTTGAATAATTTATCAAAAATTTATAAATATTTATTAAAGAATTCGTAAATTCTTTTCCATGCTAAATCTTTAACCTCTTGATTTTCACCACCCGCATATCCCAATTCTTTACGTTTATTAAGTGACCATTCTTCATCATTTAAAAATGCGTGACCTTCATTATCATATCGATAAATTTGAATATCATAATTCATAACATCAAATCTTTCGACCCCTTCTCTTAATCTTCTTTCAAATGAATTGGCTGCATTAGGATCACTAAATCCAGTTAATTTGTCTTCTTTACCAAAATGTCCTTGAACTGGTGTTTTAATCGCAATATTTGATATATCCACAAGTGAATTTGAAGGAATCCCGTAACATGTGATGACAGCATTTAATGGATCATTTTTGGAGACGAGATGAGATGCCAAAGTTAAACTCATCGCTCCTCCCATACAAAATCCAATCGATCCAATTTTTTCATAAGAATTTTCTTTTTTTAAAAAATCATTTAAATTTTCTAATTCAATTGATGCTTTTTTCCAATCCAAATTATTCATCAAGTGACTAGCCTCTTCTGATGACAATCCAAGTTTTCCTTTATACAAATCCGGAACGACTGTCATGATCTTTACATTATCAGCAATACGTTGAGCATGTTTCTTGATTTGTTCATTAATTCCCCACCATTCTTGTAATACTATAATTGCGGACTTTTTTTTTTGTTCTCCTGTTTGAGGTTTAAATCGTAAGATTTTAAAAGGCAATTCAGCTTCAGAAGTAAAAGTTCTCGTTTTCAAATTGAAATTATTATTAGTATTATTGAAATTTCTAGTAGTAGTAATAATATTATTATTATTAAATTTTCTAGATAAAGATAAAAAAATTGGTTTATTGGTTAAATTTGCACGGGCCATTATTAATTGTTTATAAAAAGAGAAATTTGGAGAAATCTTTTGATTTTTTTTTAAAAATATAATTTCTCATGGATAAATGAGGAATGTAGCACGTGAATAAAAAAAAAAGATTTGTATATAAATGTTTGACACTATTACTTTTAGTCGATTAGTGAAAAAAATGTCAACATCTTATAAACGCCAAGGTGGAACCAATCAACGTAATCAAAGTTATTATAAGCGCCCGCGGATGGCACCCGTGAAACCACCACGGAAACCATTTTTCGATTTTCGACTTTCCAAACTTATAATTGGTGATTTTGTTCTGGGTAAATCAAATCAAATTCAACGTTGTAATCTAATAAATGTTTCTAATTAATAAATATTCTAATGATATTATAACCTTATTGATGTTTTTTGGGGGTGGGGAAAAATCGAAATTAGAAAAAAATGGTGTAGAAGAGGAAAAAGGCGACTGTAGGCTTCGGTTTTATCTTAATAATGCTAACGATCCTTTGTCTAAACAAGATGCTATAGCAATTGCTTGGAACAATGGACAAACTAGAATTATTTTTGATATACTGAATATTCGTAAAATCACTTTAACACAAAAAGAAGGCTGCTTTCATATCTCTACTACTGGAGAAGTTCAGGTAATTGATAATTTAATTATTCTTTATTGATGATGGTAATAATAATAATAATAATAAATCATAATAATAGTTTGAGAAATTGGATCAAAATGGTACATATGCGATTAGTGAAGAAGATCCAACTTCCGGTCATTTGGATTTAAATCATGATATTATTTGTTATGTTGATATGGATAATCCAGTCACTCAACCAAAATGGACAAATCAAAATATTAAAGAATGGACAAATGAAAATTCAAGATTTAGACAAATATTGGAAGTAACGGATGCTGAGGAGGTAATTTTTGCTTCTCTATATATATAGAGAGAGAGAATTTATGGAATTTATAGAATTTATAATTTAATTTAATGAAATAGAATTTTACAAATTTTAAATGAATGAATATAATTTTTTTTTTTAGTCCAAGACATTCGAAGATGTGGTAAATTCATGGGCTAGAAGTTCTAATCATGGATTACTTAGTGATCGATTACTTTTCGCTAAAGTTCAACTTTGCAAAGTGGATCGACTCTTTGAAATTATTACTCGTTTGATACGTAAAGAATCATCACTTGGACCAGCTATTGATGGATTGACCATCATAATTAAAGATCTTTCTAAAAAGTGTTGTTTGAAATCTGATGATTTAGAAAAAATGGTAGCACCAGTGGTAAATACCATACCAGAATATTTGATATTGAGAGCATTAGAATCGATGTGGAAAGCCGAAGAACGTGATGCCACCGGAGTCGTGTAAGACAAAAAAAAAGAATTTGATTAAAATCAGATTCTTTTTATATTCAAAAATACTCAAAAATTGTGCATTTTTTTGAAAGAAAGAAAGAAAGAGAAAAATGCACTAACGATAGATGATATTATTAGTGGTATTTTTATCATCTAATAATATTAAGAACAATCATATTTTTGCCAAGAAATAACACAAAGGCAATTATATTACATACATATTTTTGACGATGTGAAAAAAGTTTCTAGCAATAAAATTTCAAAAGAAATGATAATTATTTATTATTGACGTTTTGAAGATGAAGAAGTAGAAGAAAGAAAAAAGAGAAAAAGAAAAAGAAAAAAGAAGAGGAGAGATATAATAATTCATTCTTTTGAAATTTTATTAAATAATGATTATAATAATAATAATAATAATAATAATAATAATAATTCAAACGTCTGAAATTTCTGAAATTATAATTGATAATAAGAAAATGAATGAAATGAAATGACAATAAAAAAGAGTGAAATAATACAAATATAGCAATAAGTGTCATCATCACTTTTGATTGATTTAATATCGAATTATTATTAATTTATTATTAATTTCTTTGAAAAGAAAAGAAAAGATAATATTTCATTTAGTATTCATTTTTAGTAGTAATAGTAGTAGAAAAAGAAACTCTGTCATTAATTTATATTTATTTTTTATTTTTTTGTTTTTAATTTGTAGGGATTTTGTGGATCTTGATTTAACTTTCCTTATCTTCCTTCCTACTTTAAATATTATCATCATATTGATTTCTCTATTATCTGAGAATTAATGTCAGCACTATTATAATCAGTTATGTGGAGATAATTAAGATAGAAAAGATATAATAAAAGGTATGGAATAAGTTAATAAAAAAAATTTTTTTTCATTATCTCTTGTTTATATTTTCTTATTATTATTCCTTTCTTGAAATCAAATAACATCAATATCCTATTATTATTCAATTTTATAATAATAATAATAATTATTATTATTATTACTATTATTATTATAATTATGGAAAAGTAGTTAAGAATAAAACTGGAATTATTTATTTTTATTACTAACATTATTTTTGATAAAATGAGAAATTTTTTGTTATAATGTAAAAATAAAAAATTATGTGAATATTAATAGAAAGATCTACTCAATAATAAAGTCAAGATAGAAATAATAAAGTAGACATTTTTTAACATTATTTTAAAGAGTGTATGACAATAATTTACAGTTTATAATTTATTTATTTTTTTTTTAGCCAGTGATAATTCAGTAAATTATAAATTAAATTTAATAAATTGGATTTAAAGTATTTAAAGTAATATGACACTTTTACATTGTTACATTGTTACTTTTATTTTTTAAAATGGCTAAGATCGAAGATCGAGGATCATTACATTATTTATTACGCGGTAAATTATTACATAATGTATGATATTATACCATTATTTATGTTAATTCAAATGTAAGTAAGTAACATTAAATCAATTTATTTAATCAATAAATAATCTACATTGTTTTGATTCTTGGAATCCTTGGGATTCTTGGGGATGTTTTTTTTGAAACACCTTCACTTAGAATGGAAATTTCGCAGCAAACGATCAAAAATTAAAAATTGACTGTTTTGGTTATCAGTTGCCAAGGTATCACGAATTAAAAGAAGAAATTCTGAAATTATATCATAGAAAAATGGAACAAAATAAAAATAAAAATGCCAAGTTTAACATTTTTATTATTTCATTTGCCAAGATCATTTGTTATTTTTAGTTATTTTTAGTACATCATGTCATTAAAAAGATTATTTAATTGTGTCAATGATTTATATTCCCTAAGAATTCTTGGCTTATGATTTGATATTATTGCTCACGTTATACATAATTATACATATACAGTATTATATTATACACATTTATTATAATATACAACTCAATTCAATTTATATAAAGGCGCACTTAAAACCTCTCTAAACTTTTTTTTTTTAAGTCTTTGATATTTTAAAAGAATTCTTGAGTTACTCAACCTCCTTTAACTTTGGATCTCAAAAAAAAAAAAATTGATCTAAATTTATAAATTTCATTGAAATTCACTTAAATAAAAATGGCCTTAACACCCCCATCTAGGAATAGTTGTGAAGAGTTACGTTGCTTATGGGCTCAATGTGGTCATAGTTTCGATGACCCAGAATTACTTTATAACCATTTAGCTAATGATCATGTTGGTCGAAAATCTACCGGAAACTTATGTCTTAGTTGTCATTGGGATAGATGTGAAGTTCAAACCACTAAAAGGGATCATATTACCAGTCACTTGAGAGTTCACGTTCCTTTAAAACCACACATCTGTGAGGTAACTATACTATTTTTTTTTCTTTACAAATCAATGAAATGCATGAAAATACATTCGATTACACATACGTAATTAAATAAACGTAAATTTTTTTTTTTGATATTTATCATAGAGTTGTAAGAAAGCTTTTAAACGTCCCCAAGATTTAAAGAAACATGAAAAGATACATACCCCCGAACATCAAAACCATATGATCAAACAAAGATTTAATAGAGATAGAGGTAGAAATCAACCACCTACTCCACCTCATCAATATTCTTCTGGAGATTCTTCCGCTTCTTCTCCTCAACAAGTACCTCTTTCACCTGATAGTAACACATCGAGTGGTATATTTTATTTGATTTATATTAATTAATTATTTATATTTATATTAATTAATATATTAATTATATTAATTATTGATTCATATTAATTAATATATTAATTATATATATTAATTATATTAATTATTGATTCATATTAATTAATAGATTAATTATATATATTAATTATATTAATTATTGATTCATATTAATTAATATATTAATTATATTAATTATTGATTCATATTAATTATAATATTAATTATATTTATTTATGAATAGTTTATATATCAAATCAAGATATTTATTATTACTCCGATTACCCCGATTACCCCGATGATGTGGATTATCAATTTCAACCCGTTGTATCAATTCCAAGAAATTCAAAACGTAACATAGAAGTTTTTGATGAATTTTGTCATGATGTAAAAAGAAAGCGAATTGATCCATTATACAATGAAGGTATAGGAATTCAAAAAAAAAAAAAAAACTTTCATCAATTATTAAAAATTAAAGTTAAAATTTTTAATAAAAAAAATGAATTTATTATTAATTTTATAATAATAATTAATTTATAGTTCTTGTTGATAAATTGGAAAATCTTTCTAAAGCTTTTGGAGATGAAGAGGGTATCGATCAAATAAGTTTAGCTTCATTTAGTACAAAAGAAGATTTTAATGTGATTAGTGATTTCTTGGAACAAACTTTACGTGCAATGAATAATAATGATTTCAATATTCATTCTGAAATTAATACCAATAATTCTTATCCTGATTCTACGATATTATCTTATCCATCTGATACCTTTACTACTACCACCACCAATAATACTACTGATACAGGAAGTTTATATTCATCTTTAAATCTTGATATTGTTCATAGTAAAGAATCACCTGATATTAATAATGCTACAACTACAACCACTACAACTTGTGATGGAAATGTTATTTATAATTTCTCACCATCGGTTAATAATACTACAACTAATGTTCCAGTTGTTTGTTCTAATGATGTTGTAGTAGAAAATTTATATCCTATAACTGCAACAACCGGATTAACTGGTGGGGTTTATAACAATACAGCATTTCCTAGTCCACCTGAAGATGATTGGGATAATGTTTATCCTATTTATCCTTCTACGACAGCGACAGTTCCCACCACAGTGACGACAACAGTTAATGATTCACCTTCTACTACATTCTCTACCACACAACAACAACAACAACAATCACAACAATATACTTCACAAATACAACCACCATCTGATGGAGATTTTATAATATTACAACCAATTCCTACTTATTTTGATACTATGGCTCCACCTATACCTAAATTACATAAATCAGTTTATCAACAACAACAACCTAATAAAGATTATAATAATAATAAAGATGATAATAAAGATAATTCTATATCCAAAAAGAAAGTAGAGAATAATGTAACGAAGAATAGAGATATAGATGAATTGACTAAAAAGGTTTCCGACTTAAAAATAGGTGGAATTAAAAAAATTGATAAAGAACCAAATCTAAATAATAATAATAAATATAACGAGGCTTTAAGACAAAAACATCTGGCTTTCGTTTCTTCTGTACATAAAAAGATTGGCCAACTTGCTGAACAATTCGAAACGACATCAACTTTGGGATCATCCAATGGTAGTGATAATAATATGAATGACAATAATAAGAATGATTACGGAAATGACGTGGTTCGATCCGATTCTTTGTTAAACGGTTCTATTAAAACTAAGAATTTGGTCGTTGTATAATAATATGAATTATGAATGATTATTATTTATTATTATTTCATTTTTATCATTACCATCATTATCATTTATCATTATCATCATCATCATCATCATGATCATTATTATTATTATATATTTTTTCTTTTCTTTCTTCTGTGATTTATTTGGATAGAAATCAAATTTTCAACTTTTTAAATATAAAACTTCTCTTTCTTTTTCTTTTCTAAATTCATTGTTATCCTTTTTTTTTGTTTTCTATATATATATATATATATATATATATATTGTGCTTTTGATTTAATTATATATTACTTTTTCTTTTCCAATTGAGAATATTAAATGCATACATTTATATTTATATCTTATTTTTAGTTTATATATATATATATACATATTAGAGTTATATATTTTTTAGGATTCTTGATGTAAATTATTTACACATATATAAATATATATATTTGTTAATTAGATTTCATCATTTGTATAAAAAAAATAAAAAAGATAATAAAAAAAAGTAAAAATCATGTGAATCATTTTTTATTATAATTACCACATTACTATTACGTATTATTACTTATTATTAGATTATTATATATTTATTATTATTTATTATTACGTAAGTATATATGCTACAATTTTATTTTTATCAGTAATCACGCTCATCCTCTTCTTCCCCACCCACAACCATCTCTTCTACTTCTTCTACTTCTTCCTCCTCTTCTTCTTCATTTTCTCTCGTCACAGTCGTAGCTCGCTTATTTTTTCTTCTAGAAGATCCACCTTTGGATTTATTATTATTATTATTATCTTCACCGATCACATTAGATTCTTTCCAAGCAATTTTACAAGATGGGCAAACTTTTTCAGTTTGTGAAGCAAAGTAATTTCGTGAACAATGATGATGAAAACGTGATTTACATTGTTGTACATCACAACGTTGGCCCTGTTATTAGTATAAGATTATATAATAGGTATATTAGGTATATTTAATATATTAGGGTGTATTATGATATTATAATAAAAGATATTCAAAGACTCATACCTTGGTAATAATATCGTAACACAGTGTACATTCAATAAGATTATCTTCATATGTTTCCTTTAGATAAACTTGTAATTCAAGTATTGCTCTTTGACTCAAAGAATATTTTCCATTCCTGAAAACATGAAATTTTTGATTTTTATGAATTTGAAATTTGAAATTTGATGATCAAATAATATTATTCAAATATTTTAAAATAATATATCAAAACTCACTTTGATAAAATCAACCATTTATCTTCAACAAATTTTTGTAATAAAGATTCTGCGGCACTTTTTGTTATGGTCGTTTTGAGTTTAGAAGCTTCTCTTAGTGCCGTGATTGATGAAACCGAAAATTCTTCATAATCTGCGGTGACAATGAGTTCAATCTTGATTATTTGTATAATTTATGAATCATTTTTTTATATGACATTGAAATAATTATAATTATTATAATTATTATAATTATTATTATTATTATTATTATTATTATTATTATTATTGTTATCGAACTTACCAAATGTTTAAAATATGAAATCTCAACAGCTGTATATTCTGTAACTAATTTCGAAATTTCATCCCCATTAGTGTTAACCTATTATAAGTATTATAAGGGGGTGAAGTAATAATTATAATAATAAAAGAATTAAAGGGATGATTTGACCAAAAAATTCAATGATTCTTTTTTGTATAAAAAAAAAAACTGATCCACTCACTAAAGCCCAAACGGGTGTACCGTCAGTTTCATCGTGACTTTTTCTAAATTCCATGTCAATTGAGTTAAGTTTTTGGTTAATTGAAGCCATAAACTCTTGAAATGTTTCGGTAGGTCTTCGTACTTCATTTTTACAAACACACACACATATATATACATTTATTTATTGATTATTATTTTAACAATTTAATAACAAAAGAATTAAACCATTCTATTTTATTCCAGAAATAAGTTTTTTTTTTTTTTTAATATAAAAATAATTTTACCATTATTAGCCAAATATGCTTTTCTATACATTTCTATAGCTTTCGTTTCTGGAAAGAAACGTTCAGACATAGAAGCTTGTAAAAAGAGACGATGAGAATTTGCATACGAGGAAGTCATTATTTATTAAAGTTATGAATATTATCAATTTTACTCGAACGCGAACTATTTCACGTATAAAAACTTTAAACCATGTGAGTATCATGTGATCAACAAGAAAAAAATAATGTATTGTTTTTTAAAATATTTTTTTTTAATTGAAAAAAGTTGATTTTTTTTTTATATGATCTCTTTTTTTCTAACGAGAAAACATCAAAATGAAAGTAGTAGTAATATATGAAGAAATGGATAAGAAGAAGAAAATCAAACGTTAATAAAGGCGTTTTTTAGGTGACGAAAAATAAAGTATAAAAAAGGGTGAAAATTACTACGGATTTTGGATGTAAATATTCACATATGCAGAGAAGATGGTAAACGAGGGGAAGACAAAAATACATACATATATATCATATATAAGCGAAAATAAATGAAATACTATTTCTCTTTTTAGGAGATAAAGGAAAAAAGGAAGAAGAAAGAAGAAGAAAGAAGAAGAGGGTTAGGTTATGATATAAAAAATTTTTTGTTTGGAGTTTTTTTTTTTTTTTTTTTTTTCCTCCTATATATATATAAAAATAATAAAGTCCAATGTTCAAAAAGAAAGAAATGCAAAATCGTATGTGGACGTCGTTCTAGTAATATATACACAAGTAACACACCCATACATAAACTACGTACACACACTATATATACATATACGTATATATAAAATAGTTATTTATATACACATATATGTATATATAAAGCGCGCTTCTTTCTCTGTTTTTCCCCACGATTGTCTAAAAATATTTAGAAATACATCCACCGACCGGTCGTGTGTTGGTACTAAAATTTTGATATAAGGTGTTCGTAATCTAAGAATCGGAATCACCCCCATTTCCGGATGCATTCAAACGACGTTCTTTTTCACTCTCTAGTTGATTGTATAATAAAAATAGAGCTTTTTCGTTGGCCTCGGCTGAACCTTGAATTGTGAACATTCGTTCCCCGGTTTCATCATGTGGAGTTTTGGCAATGCTAATACGAGAACCAGAGAGTCTACGGATTTCAGAAATTTTTGATCCCCCCTTGCCAATGATACAACCAACCATGTCAGCGGGAATGGAAATATTTTGAGTTCGAACGCTGGAGGAATCATAATTGTTATTATTGTTGTTGTTGTTGTTGTTATTGTTATTACTATTCGATTGACGACGGTTATTATGGTATTCATTGCTACCATTACCGTTGCTACTCGGGTTATTACGAGAAGGACGAGTAGTAAAATCAGTTCCATTACCAGTACGAGTAGTATAATCGTTACGTCGTGAAGCTGAGTAACTCGAGGTAACACGAATAGCAGGATTATATAGAACGGTTCCAATACTACGTTCATTATCTTCAATTAAACATTTGCCGATTTCCCATACGGCAACACGAATCGACTCGACAGAGCCTTGAACTTCTACAACTCTTTCAGTACTTTGAGGAAGCATCTCTTTGGATGCGACCATCCTAGCACCAGAAACATCTTGGATATGTTTAATTTTAAGCCCTTGACGACCGATTATAGTTCCCATTAAATTGTGGGAAATGAGCAAACGAATTGAGGTGAATGCATTCGGTGGAGGTGTGATAGGAGTAGAATTTGGACTCGCATTCACAGGATTCTCGAGAAGTGTCTGCGCAATTAAAGAATATGCCTGTACATGAAATAAAAGTTGAAAATAAATTTCAGATTTAAATTATTATAAAATGACTAATGACTTATTTAACCACTTAATAACCTAAGGATTATAATATTATTTGTGAAAAAAAAAAAAGAATTAGATTCATACCTTAGAAACTCCCTCGAGAGTACCTGCAACAGATAATACTCTATCTTGAACACCTTGCACAACTTTAGTTACTCCAGCTTTGACGCTAGTACTTTCTCTAAGTTCAGCAACATTTTTGCCGGCTTTCCCGATGATAACTCCAGCTTCTTTGGTAGTCACCAACGCCCTAAGAGTAAGTGGTGATCCAGATATATCAATGGATTCTTCTGCAGTCGTTTCTTCCTTACTTTCTTCTTCCACAGAAGTCTCTGGGGAACCACCTTGATCGGTGGATTGAAGGAAAGTTGTGTTACGTTCAAAAAGCGAATGTGAAGTGGTAGAAGAATTAGTGGTAGAGGAACAAGTTGAGGTAACACCATTAGTTGTTGTAGGTGCAACCGTCGGAGCAGCAGCAGTAATACCATTTAAATCGACATGTTCTGGAAGGCCCCGGCTTGCGAGATCAGTAGCCATTTTAATAATCTAGTATGAGTTACTTTTCGTTGGTGAACTTTAAAGTATTTTTAAAGTATAAGTATTATTTAACTAATGTATGAGCATTTCGTTTGATAAAAGTATGTTTTTATATGACATACCTTTTTCAATCTGAAATTTTACAAGCTTTAATAGAAGTCGTTAGCAGCAAGGAAGGCTGACAAAATAAATTTTATGTATATATAAAATATATATATATATATTATTTTTATTGATTAATAATAAAAATTTTCCTGTGGTTTTCGTAAGTTTATCAAAGGATAAACCCGAATTAGGAACGAATGTGTTCCGATGTTAGGTTGGGTCAAATAACAGAAAGGAGTCGAAAATTATTGGAAAGATCGGGGTTAAGTGTATTTTTTTATTTTTTTATTATTATTATAATTATAGGTAATAGAGGAAGAACGAAGTAAATGAAAAAAGGATTAATAAACGGATATGTTGAAAGGTGGGTAAGTTTTTTTTTTTTGTCCCAAATGCTCGTTAAATTTGTTTTTTTTCTTTTGAGGAATGGATGTGTTCCTTGTGTTGCGAACTGATTCTGATGACGTGTACACTGTAACCCTGTGAATCCTGCTTGTTGAACAAAGAAGTATCCATCAAATTAGGATATTCTAGATCCAAAAAGGAACCTTTTAATTAACAATGCACTAAACTGCGGAAAAAATTTCTATTTCAGAAGGTTAACCAATTGAAACAATATATGTGATAAGGTCGCCCAACATCTTTTTTTTAATCTCATGACCTTAAGGTGACCTTGGTTAACTTCTCTAAATAAACTTCTCTATATAACCTTTTCTGGTTGGATAATCTTCTCTAGATAACCTTCTTTGGATAACTCTCTCTAGATGGAATTAGATTCTTTAGATAATGTTTTCTATATATGGAATTCCTTTTGCAAAAGTTAAAAAAAAAAAGTAAAAAAAAAAAAAAGGAACAAAAAATAGAAAGGGTAACAAAATCACGTGTTGAATGGTGTTTTCCCAATTATGATTGGAAATAATTTTCAAAAAAAAAAAGATACCCAAATCACACGATTAACGAATTCTTTTAAAATCGTTAGTTACACTACTTTGATGATCTGAAGATGCAGACCTATTTGCCCTATTGTTATAAGTTATATGTACTTGAATCCCACAAAAAGTTAAAGAAAAATCTTGACATAACGTTAAAATTAAGAACGTTACAATAAATGTGAAAGTGTGTCATAACATTACGTTAATAATTTACACATTTACACACGTGTAAAGATACCTGCCAAAATTAATGTATTGCAACTTAATTACAATAATTTGACAATAATTGCAATAATAATATCAATAATTTATTTTTTACATGATAACTAGTTTAATTATTTTTTAATTCAAATCGATTTTACCGAAACGTTAAGCGATTTTATACGGTTGTATTCCTAAAATCATTCGAAAGTTCTCGTTTCAAAGCTTTCACATTAAAATATTACTTTTTGTTTCGATTTTGTGCAACGTATAGCACTATGATATTTATGATATTTCTAATGGTTCTTGTTTCAAACTTCACAGAATCACATTTCTAGCTTCGATATTCCCCCGCCGAAAATAATAATAACTTGATTAGAATAAGAAATTTATGGATTACAGCCAGAATTACTGATTGCAACCCCTATGAAAAAAATATTGTAGCAGGGATTTTTTTTTAAACCGAAACAGGAAAGACTAAGTCTAAAAATCTATAAAAAACATATTTATAGAAAAAATTCACCCAATTAGGGATCATAACCTATGACCCTCTGGCGTTGTGATGTGATACTTTAATGATTTTCGTAAATTGAGAGTTATTTATCAGTTTTCATTATACAGTTTTTTTGCATTGTATTATCTTTTTTTCCTTAACTGAACAACCGGAAACTAAAAAACATAGCTAAATAAAACAAAATGTCAAATAACTCACGTCAAAACGGTTCAGATTCCACTGCTCGTGCTGGTGGTGAAAACGGTCTTACACCATCAGCAAATTTAAAGCCTGTTCAAGTTAAACTAGTACTCCTGGGTAAATATTCAGCCCTTTTAAATTTTCCATCTTTTTATTTTCACTTTTTACAAGAAGAGTCAATCTGAAGGTCAGGTATTAAGAGAACCTTATTTTTTCTTCTACTTTTTATTAGGGGAAGCCGCAGTTGGAAAATCTAGTCTGGTATTCAGGTTTGTCAATAATGAATTTCAAGAAAACAAGGAACCTACTATTGGTGGTATGTAATTTCTTCGATCGGGTGCCATATTTCTATTTTTAATGAAATGGTTTTTGACAAAAAATTCGCTTTAATATTCACGTGATGTTATAATATTTACATAGCTGCGTTCTTAACACAGAAGTGTCGCTTGGAAGATAAAGTAATTAAATTCGAAATTTGGGACACAGCCGGTCAAGAACGATTCCATTCTCTAGCTCCAATGTATTACCGTAATGCTCAGGCTGCAGTAGTAGTTTATGATGTTACGAAGGCGGTAATTATTTTTATTATAAATTAAATTTAAATAATTTAATTTTTTCATAATTTATTTATTTTTTATTTATTTCAAAATTTATTTATTTATTTATTTAAAATTTATTCATAATTTATTAATTTTATTTATAATTGAATATGTGACTAGGCCTCCCTTGACAAAGCCAAATCTTGGGTTAAGGAATTGCAACGTCAAGCGAACCCAAACATTGTTATTGCTCTTGCAGGAAATAAAATAGATCTTGTACAACCTAATGAAGAAGGAGAAGACGATTCTGAATCTGGACGACAAGTCCCGACTGAAGAAGCTAAAGCCTATGCTCTTGAAGCCGGTTTATTATTTTTTGAAACTAGTGCAAAGAAAGGTGATGGTGTACGGGATGTATTCACAGAAATTGGTAAATAATATTTTTAATTCATAATAAATATAATTGATTGTGGTTTTTGAATTTTTAATTTTAATTTAATTATTATTTTAAAAAAAAAAAATTTTTTTTTTTTTTTTTTTTTGTAGCTAAAAAGATTCCTCTTGAACATATTATCAGTCGCCCACGTCAAGTAAATAACAATAGTAACCAAATAAACGTAATCCAACCGCCAGGAGCTAATAGAAATAATGGGGGTGGCCCTGCAAAAGATTGTGCTTGTTAAGTTCCTGATTTTGTGTAAATTTCAGATTCACACACTTTTTTAACATATAGTTTATTATATTTGAGGTTTATTATAATTTCATACACTTTTTTTCTTCTTTTGTTTTAGTAGTATATATGATATTCATTGTTTTTTTAATACATTGATTATAAAGATTACAAAGAGAACAATTACAAAGGGAATAATATATATATATATATATATATATATTCAATCGGGTTTTCCCTAGCCGATTATTCATATTAGCTTCGAAAATTCGTTTTTTTTTAATTCAACATAAGGTTTGAATGAAGCACATCACATGGTTACTTTTTTAGATATTTATTTACTTGGAATTAAAAATATGTTATGCTCATTCTGAAGTGGTGACTTTTTATCACTGTTAATTTTTTTTTATATTAAATATGTATACAACAACTTAAATATATTTTTTTGATATCAAGATAGAAAAGATAAAGATGAATTTTTTTTTTTTTTTTGAAATTTATAAACTTATTATTATTATTATTACGGGTACGTTATCCGGGAAATTACTTATTTTTTGTATCTGTTCTTTATTTTTTCAATATTCATTTATATTCTTATATATTCTTCTTTATATTCTTCTTTATATTCTTATATATTCCTATATATGGACGGGTGTAAATAAAAAAGATGATTTTTTTCAAGCATTAATACGATCCGATCAATAAAATTTATTACCAAAAAAATGTCTCATTTACACATCATTTCTATTTTGTATTTTATTTTCTATTTTATCTCTTTCAACTTCAAGAAAGAACAATGGCGTGATGCAAATTGTACATATTTCTTTCTAGAATTCTTGTTTCACTACAAATATGTAATTGTACTTTCTTTAACCGATTTTTTGTGAAACTAAAAATGATAAATTTAGTTAGAATTCACATTTTTAAACTATTAACATATATTTCGCCATTTTGAGTTTAGCGAAATAAAAAAAAAAAAATTCGATATCTCGCGTTTGAGAAAAAAAAAAAAACTCAAAAGTTATAATTGATTTCCTTTCGATATATCCAATATATCCACTTATTCAAGAACATTTTAGTAAAAATGGGAAAACCGAATAATGAAACAAACCGAAATAGTAACGTGAATAGCAAGAACGTTAAAGACTTTTTTACCTCAACGAAAACTAATAACAAGAATTCCAAGGTAAAAATATTGTTTAAAGTACTTTTAATCTTTTGCAACTTTACTTAATTTTTGACTCAATGGTTTATAGTCCCTTGGAGTTGCTGGTTCAACCCGAAATGAAGCGGCAGTTATTAAACGCGTAATTCCAAAGAAACGAAAGTCAAAAATAAAAAATAAAGTACGTGTTTTTATGAACGTGTTTGATTTATTTCGGTTTTATTATATAATTTTTTTTTTTGTTTAATGAATTATTATATAATTCTCATTCTTTAGAAGGGACTTGAAGTTGTTGATCCTAAGCAAACAAGTATTGTGTCTTTCGCGACTATTATGAATATGGCGAGAGAGAAAAGTGAAGTAAATTTCAGTATAAAAGGAAACGTATGTATTTTTAATAATGTTACATTTTCTTTATTAATTTTTTATTAATTTTCATTAATTTCAATTTTAATTTCATTTAATAAAGGAAACAGAAAAAACTACGACAACCGAAAATGATCAAAGAAATAGCATAAAATTACTAGTTAATATGAGAATTTCTTTTATCAACGTGCCGTAAAAAAGCAAATAAGTTTTTTTTTTTAATATAAAATTGATCAAATTTTTACAATTCCACATTTAATAGAATGGTAACGGAAAACAGAATGCAAAACGCGTAATATCATCGAAAAAACAAGAAAAATCCGATACATCTCGACGTCGGAAATCATTACGAGAACGAGTTAGTAAAAAATTTCATTTAAAAATAAAATAAAATAATTTATATAAATTTGATAAGACTATCTAATTATATTCTAAATGATAATATTCCTCTTTCAGGTTCTATCTAAAGGTCAGAAAACACTTGAAGAAACATTAAAAGAAAAATCTTCAGCGAATCACCGAAAGACAATGTTGAGTCGAATACTTAACATTATAGAATCGATATCTTTGTATGTTTTTTCTTTCCAATTTTGCAAAAAAAAAAAAATTATATTTTTTTTATTATTCAATAATATCTTAAATGCTATATTATTTTTAATTTAAATGTTATATTATTATTTTTTATATTAATATTATATTATATTTAATTTAATGCTATATCATTTTGTTATAGTCTTTATATAACATCTAACAAAGACGTCATGTACATGGCGGAAGTTGCAACAAGGTTAAAAGAAAGTTCAATAGTGCCTTTTTCATTACGTAATATTAATTTATATTATTTATATGTGTATTGTTTATACATTTATTCTTTGATGATAAAATCTTTCTCAATTTATAGGTGAGATAATTGAATACATTGAACTTATTGCAGAAATAGCGCCCGATTGGTGCAAACTTTCTTATAGTATAGAGGAGAAAAAATTAGTAAAAATTAACCATTCATTTCCATCAAAAGAAGTGTCTAAACTTGTACAAGAAAGAATCGAAAATATTAAATTATAGTAATAAATATGTGCACAAAATTAATATAATTTTAGTAATTTTAAAGATACAAAGAAATATAATATATATTTGTTATGAAAATGGCAACCTCCATCATAAAGATGAGTTTACAATAAAAAAGAAAAACTTTCTATAATTTTTTTTTTGTCTACATGAAGAATTTTCATAATATTCCATCTTCCATTAAATATTAATATTCTAATAAAGTCTTTATCCAATAAATTCATATTGTAAAATATCGTAATAAAGTTATGCCTAATCCTTTACATTTTTAATAACGAACCCTGGAAATAATGAACATATAATAAATTTTAGATATAACGAAATTAAGAAATTTCAGAGTTCGTTATAAAAAACATAATAAATTTGTATCAGCATAACGTTCATTGAGATATTCAATAGTCTGTCGAAGCAATATTCCAAAGATCATGACAGATATCTTATAATGGTTTGGTAATAAAGGGAATAGTTATTTGTAAAGAAAATTCTAGTTGAAGAAAATGATATTTTTTTTTGCCACTTATGTATTTCGTCCCCGTAAATAATTATTATTATTTTTTTTTTTTTTGGAGCAAGGCTCCATTGTTTAAAAATGTTTTTTTTTAAAAAAGAAATTTTTTTACGAATAAAATGACGAGATCATTATATCTGGTGCCGACTGTATTACTCTGATTTTTTGTGATAATTACAGTTGTTGAGATAAAGCTATTTTAATATCTAAATTCTAAAATAAAATTTTTGATTATTTAAGAAAGGGAGAAGTATGAAGGAAAGGTTATTAGTGCTTATTATTGTTTTAATGATGATATTTCCCCTTGTTGTACATTTCGTGTAATTGTCTCATAATTATCACTATTTCGTTTCAAAATATCAACAACTGGTCCTAACAATCGAACAAATGCTTTTTTTCCTAATGTTGCAACCTTTAATCGACCTTTGGCTCTAATATTTACAGCACGAGGTCTATTATTAAGTAAGGCGAGCTCTATAAAATTTTTTTTATTTAAATATTATATGTAAAAAAAATTTTGTTAAAAATTTCTCAATTTTAATAAATAAATAAACATTTACCTCCAAAGTAATCTCCTTTATTCAAACCAGGGAATTCATGTTCAATACCATTCTCATCTACTTTAGTTACTCGGGCTTCACCAGATTCTATGAGATAAAAATTATTGCCTATATCACCTTGTTTTATTACCAATTCATTATCTTCATAATATAAAGATTCCAAAGCATCTGCAATTTTTTGTCGTTCGTAGGGTTCCAGTGAAACCAAAATTGTAACTTCACTAAGAAAAGATTCATACATTCTTCGTTTTCGAGAAGTATTTTCCATTAGAATTCTTCTAAAAGTTATTCTATCGAGTGCCCAAAGAACAGCATCTGATGTCGCTACAATGGTAGCAGCACGTGGGGCATTATACATAAGAGCTAACTCTCCAAAACTACCACCAGGTTCATAATTATTTACAAGTTCTGGAACATCCTCGTTTTTAGAAACGTATACATCAAATGTACCAGTTTCTACCACATAGAAAAAGTCACCAATGCCACCTTGTTTAATAACATCTTCATTTTTTGAAACTCTTTTTTCTACCATAGCATCGATGACATCTTTGTACTGCTCTTCGTCTAGGTTTTTGAACAAGAAATTGTTGGCAATAGATGCCTCTATTCGCTGACGTTGTTCATCAGTTTTTGGAATAATAACTTTAACGTAATCTTTGTCTTTACTTGGTGCCATTGATTCGGCACTCACAGACGCACGTCGACCTCTATTGTAATTTATTGGAATGGCGGGAAGATCGCTAGGCTCATCATCGTACAATTCTTCTTCAGTTTCAGGAAAATAATCTGTAGTAGGTGTGCTTGCTATAGATGTTTTTGCAGAGTAAAAGTCTGGAGATCCTGCTGGCTCTGGTACCTCAGTGTCTGATAAATCAGTGAGTCCCTGAGTATGTTCAGATGCATGTGATCCTGAAGCAGCTGAAGACATACTAAAGAATGAAAAACTATTAGTTTATGTAAAAAATTGACAAAGAATCTAATAAATAGAATAAAACTAATATGCCGAACATTTTATAAAATATTTCTCGAATGTTGATCTCAATGGACTAAATTTTTTTTTTTCGTGCGTTTTTAGACCTTACGAAAGTTTTTTGTCACAAGGTAAGTTGTATAGTTGTACATCAGACGCGATAGAAGAGACATCAATGTAGATCTGTACTCCAATGTAATCATTCAATAACTTTTAATAATATAGTCCAACTGAGTCATCTTTCTTTATAATCACAATAGACAATAATCTCTTATTTGCATTTAATGCATAGTTAAAAAATACAAAGAAATATATATATAATATGATTACACATTTTTAATGTTAGCCTGTATCCTTTTTATAAACAACAAAGTGAACATTATATACAGAAATTTATTTAGTAATCCAATAATGTATACACCAATTATGAATTATAAATGCAAAGCAATCAAGGTATATATTATAAATAATAAGACTATTTTTAAGATTGTATTGAATGATTTACCTACAATTGGAGAGACACAGTTGAGAATTAAAAACAGTTGAAAAATCTAAAATCAAGATATAGTGATACAATTTCAATAAACAAAAAACTATAAAATTAATAAACATCTGCAATTAATCATTCTGCAATCTTTTTTATTTAACTAGTGTAATCAAGAGATTTCAAAAAAAAAAAAAAACTAAAATAAAAGAAACTAATGTTCATATTGAATTGAAATATAATATTATTAAAGTATAAAATATACTACCAATAGTAATATTAACTTGTCTTATTATATAATTAATTTGTAAAGTTAACTAAAATATGTTTAATCTAAGAATAGTAAGTACAAACTTAATTGAACTAGAAATTTAAATAATTAAGTATACTTTCTAACATAATAAAAAAAAGAAATTAAATTGTCTTATTAAGGTGTATTTTTTTTAAAAAAAATTGTAATATAAATTCACAATTCTGTAATTAATTATAACATAAAATACATATTTGAAATTTCCATATTTTTAGTTTCAAAATGATACCTTTTATTTTAATTAGATAATTTTTGATCAAAATATCTTAAAGTTTATCAATTTAAAAATAATTAAAATTTAATTTGACCAATCATTATTTTTTTATTAATTACAATTCTACACACGAATATTCCATTAATTAAAAAAAAAATGGTCCTTCCCCATCGGACCTGCAATAAAAGATAAAAACAACTTATCTAATTATGGTCTTCTCAAAAAGATATTATGAGGTATAATTAAAACCATGGTAAATCCAGAGGCCGGAGTTAAAGAACCAGAGAACCAAGACATAAATCAAATCCACACTTCTCTACCCATTATTCCAAATAAATATTCCGATAAAGAATTTAGACTAGGATCAAATCAGAATATTAGAGAAAAAATTTGATTATCAATACAAAAACTTAAAAAGGAGGTTGAATGGATAGATGATGATATGGATGAACTTTCAGCTAAATAGTTCCTCTAATTCTAAGTCTGGATCTGATTACGCGAATTAAAAAAGTCCCACAAAAATAGTTACATAGTAGTAAATAAGGTAAGGCGTGTTAAGAAAAAAAATATAATAATAAGGAGGTTAAAAAATCTTCGGAATGGTGATTATAAACCACATAAATTGAATTGCCCAAATTAGTGTATATAATTGGCATGGCTGAGTCTCGAAACAATATGCGTAAAACAATGGGTAAGTTTAACTAATCCATAAAATCGTAGGGGTATTTAATTATTCTGAATTACTTTTTATGTACAACTTGTGCCAGAAAAATTAACGTAATTTCAACCCGTGATCGCGCATGTGTCAAGAAACGTGGCATGCATGAATGGGAATAACGTGCTACAAGTTGATCTTGATCGTGCTCGATGGTTTAATTAATTACTGAGGTAATATTACGATGTTTAATAGATGGGAGTAGGGAAAGGAACAGCCATTACTTTACAATGTAAAGGGGACCAGGATCCCAGCTGGCATGTTTTCATGCTTTATTCCCCCTCTTAGCCCTCATGTATTTAATAATTATAGATTGATAAGAAAAAAAGGATTTACAGTTATAATGTTATAATAAATACGGCATTATAGCCTATAGAACCCTAGCTTTAAATACTTTAATGCCTTTATGTTTTAAATAGTTATAAAGCCTTAATGTTATAAAATAATTAGGAAATTATGGTTTTTTGACTTATAAAACAAACAATATTTCATAAATATATGTGAATAACAAACTACTACTATTGATCAATATAAAATTTATAAAGATCAAAAAAAAAATCATTTATTTATTTATTGTTTATAAAATTTATAAACAAGGTATAGAAAACTAATTAAAATTCAAAATAAAGACTTTATTGATGTTTAAACTATATGAAAACTTTACAAACCAGAATACTTGATAAATTTAGAAAATATGAAATAGAAAATTTTAGTTCCTGAATTTTCACCTCCATTATATTAGAAAAAAATTATGGAAATGGAAATAATATATATTTTTTCTATCTATGATTAAATCTCTTTGAAATCCGAATAGGTTCTTATTTATTTTTTAATTCGTTGAGAGGTTCGAGTGGATTGTGATAATTTTTGCTTCTCTACTTTATCTTCTTTTTGATTACGCTTTGATTTTCTAGGTGCATGAGCCAGTTGTGATGACTCTTGTTCTTCTTCTTTGTTTTCGACACTAACTTCTTTTTGATTGTGCTTTGATCTTTTAGATATACGAATTGATTGTGATGATTCAGGCTCTCCTTCTCTTTTTTTTGTATCAACTTCTTTATCTTTGTTTATTTCTTTAACTTTTTTCTTGTTATCTTTTTTATCAGTACTTTTTTGACCAATTAATTGTTTAGAGGAGCGAATCGCATGTGACGGTATTTCTTCATTTTGATTTTCTTCTTTATCATCTGCATTATCAAGTTGGGAATCATAATCTTTAAGTGACCCTCCATCATTGTTATCACTATCATCCTCAGAATCTGTAAATTCATGTAAACATGTTCCAAGAGGAGGCTGGTCCGGAAACCTCTTGAAAGCATATTTGAATACTCGAAATCCAGATAAACCAATTTCCTCCCACCACTTTTCAACCTTATAAAGACCATCATAACGATAGCTTTGTTCAGAAAAAATAAAATAAAATAAAGTTAAGAATATTTAAATTTGAATTTTTTTTAAAAAAGAATAGATTTAAAAATTGCATTTTAGTTATTTACCCTTCTTTTGGAGCATATTCATTATTGAGTTTGTATCCACTACATTAAAAAAAAATGAATATCAAAAATTAGATTGTACTTGTTATAAGAAAATAATTAAACTATAACTTTTTTTTTGCATACCGGATGACACGAACTGGGTTTCCAGTTTCACAGGAAACTTTTAATGCTAAATTACCTCCAATTAATGCTTGATCCTTTGACTAAAAATAAAAACAAAAATAAAAAATAAATTTAGAGACATTTTTGTTATTTTAATAATAAATAATGAAATATTCTTTACCTGTGGTGCAGTTCTAAGGTTCTTGGGTTTATATTTAGTTCCTTTGAGATCCCTTCCACCTGAACCAGTATATGTAAATGCATCTCCTATATAAAACAAATAATCATCAGTAAAAAAATTATTATTATAATTAAGAATTAATGCATTTAATACATTTCAAAATTACCCCAATCAACATCATCTTCATATCCCTAAAAGATTTGAGAATTAATTAAATATTTAGATATTCAGTAAAATACTCATAAAAATGTACATACCCCTGATAATGCAACGCTAATGGCACCTTCCTCTTCTTTGAACGCAATTCCAGCGACAGTCGGACTACATATTTTTTATATATATCATATATATCTTTTTATATGATATTCTTAAAGAAAAATATCAAAACCAATTAAATAAAGAATGCTTACGCGTGAACTCCTGCGTGACAACAATCCATTCTTGATGCCCACCAACTACCTACTTCATAACCTGGGATATGCCCAATCTGTTTTGGATCCGGCCTATTTTCTCTCCAGTTTTTTTTCGTGATACTGACTTTAATTAACGCGTTTACTTTATGAGAGTCGGGCTAAATAATGAAAAATATTATAAACGTGTGTGTGTGTGAAATTAATGGCTTTTTTCCCCTGCATATTTACGTTATTTGCAATACGGCTTGACCTTCTTAAACTGTTGATTAAAGATGTATTCGAAGTAGAGGCTTGAGGTACTATAGAGTTCACCACGTAACTATCCTTCTTTTTGTTTTTTTTTCGCGTTGTTTTACGAGTGACAACTGGGGATGAAAGAGGTATTGGAGGTTTTTCCAACCCCAATTCCCTTAAAATACGTTTATTATTTTCAATGTTTTCAACACGTTTCTTTTCGTATTCGTTCATTTTCAGTAAAAATTTTAAAAAACAACTCCAACAGCAAACAAAAAAGAAAAACTTAAAAAAAGTAGCCTTCGGTAATTGGATTGCAAATAAACAAAGTAAACTCGGTAACTTTCGTAACACAAATTCCAAAGTCCCAATCAAAATTCAAATAAACTAAATCATTATCCTAAAACATATTGTAGCACATAGTGACAAAACAAGAAAGTATCAATTACCTTTATATAGATCATCTTTCGTGGTAGATTATCGCGATTTCTTTCAAAATGACAAATCTTCGACCTCAATTATATTATCCATTTAAAAAGATTAGTCCTGCTTCAATTTCGAAACAATTTCATTTTTCAAGAGTTTCGGAGGTAATTGATTAATATAATAAAATTAATAAAATTGGAAGACTTTTTTTATATGGTTATTTATTAACGTTGTTGATTTTGCTAATTTTATTGATATGTATAAAGAAACGTAATGAAATAGATAGAGTAAGTATTGTAATAGAGTTAAAATTTATTTTTTATTATGAATTTAGTAAACTAAAATTTTAAAATATTTAAAGGATCTAATATTAGAAGTCTTAAGCACTGTCCCTAGTCCAAGAGAAGTCAAATCATATATTAAGCGCTTTACGGTTCCCCCCATTAAAGTATCAAGACCTCCACCACCACCTTTACCCTCATCACCATCACTGAAACCTGAAAAGGTACCACGTAAAATATCTGTTCTAGATCGACAAGTTCAGCAAGATCATCAAAAAGATCAACATCAAGTTCAACAACAAGATCAACTACAGCAAGTTCAACAACAGCAAATTCAACAAGAACTAAAAGAAAAATTTATTGATGAATTGTTCTCAACACGAATTGAACATGTTGCTTTGATAAAGATTCAAGGACCATTTACCCCTTTAGATTTAAAATATGTAGCCAAAACATTAGTTCATTCACAAAAATTAGGAATGATGTTAATAGCAATTTTGGATAATGATGAATGGAAAGAAATGTTGAAAGAAGGACCATTAAAATTTATTGAATTAAAAAAAAAAATGATGGAAGAGGCCGCTAAAATCTCTGAAGCAATTGAAAATGTTGGAGGAAGGTCAACTCCCATATATGATGGAATTTTTACACTTACAAAAAAAAATGATATAAATAATTATAAAAACGATGCACTTATTGGGCGTACATTACCTACTGATGCTGGAGCGAAAATAAATGTTTCATTAAATTCACCTAAATCATGTATTAATTTAGGACAAATTCCACTTATACTTCCTATAGCTTTAGATGGATTATTAATACAAAGAACAATTTCAGCAAATTCTGGAATGATAGAATTATCACGCGCAATATCAAATTCGAATTTGATAAATTTTAAAACACCACAAGTTGTATCACAAGTTGAACTAACGAAAATCATAGTAATTAATTCAGAAGGAGGAATCCCATCAGAAGAACGTCGAGGTTCACATGTATTTATTAATATTCAACAAGAATATGAAAGTATTAAACAAAGTTATAAAGTTAATCCTCAATGGAAGATTACACATCCAACCGGTTTTGAAAATTTAAAAATGATTAAAAGTTGTTTAGAAAATCTTCCTTCAACTGCATCAGCCATTATGGTTCCAGCCTATTCACCTACAGTCTTAATATCAAATCTTATTAAAGATAAACCCGTATTTTCATCATCTTTACCATTAAATGCATCAATTACACCTTCTACCACAACCACGGTTTTACGACATGGATTTCCGGTATATTTTCATGATTCATTGAATACCATTAACGTAAAAGCTTTTCAATCTCTCATTGAATCATCATTTGGAAAAAAATTAAATTTTGAAAAATATTTTGAGAGATTAAAAAATTGTTTAAAGCATGTTATTGTTGTTGGTGATTATCAAGGAATTGCGGTGATTACTATGGAAGATATCGAAGGTAATAATGAAAAAGAAAAAGTAATTTATTTGGATAAATTTTCAGTGACACCTAAAGCTCAGGGAGTAGGAGTTGCTGACATATTATGGAAACAAATGCAAATAAGATATCCAAATTTAATGTGGAGATCGAGAAATGATAATAATGTCAACAATTGGTGATTTATTTCTCTCCTTTAATCATTTAATTTCATTTAATTTAAATTAATTCAACTCAATTTAATTTAATTCATTTTATTTTATTTTTTGTAATAATTTTTTTTTTTTTGGAAATTAGGTATTTTGAAAGATCGGATGGAAATATGCGAGTTCCCGGAACAAATTGGATGATATTTTGGTATGGAAGTGAAGGCGCCAATCAGTTGGAGGCGTATGTAAAGGTTATTAAACGAATACCAGCATCTTTTGAACAAATTAAAAATTAAAAAAAAAAAAAAATTCAACATTTTTATTTCATCATCAATAATTTTATATTTATTATTATGTATTTTTTTTAATCTCCTGTTAATTATTAATCTTTAGGCATATATTTATTATTATGTATTTTTTTTAATCTCCTGTTAATTATTAATCTTTAGGCATATATTTATTATTATGTTAATCCCCTATATTTAATTATTAATTATTAATTATTAATTATTAGTTATACTATTTAGATAATTATTTAGCCTTGTGCAATATGTATATTACTTTTATAATGGATCTCAGAGCATTTTTGTAATATAGATGCAGCGTATTCGGGCGTAATGTCGCGTTGTGGTTCGGCGAGCAATTCATAACTGTAAAACAGAAAGCAAATTAAAATCATTATTCATCATTTCGTCATTACCAAAAATGAATGTAAAGTGGAATAAGTGAATGTAAAGTGAAAAAATGAATATATAAAAATGAATATAAAAAATTTACCCTACTAAAAACTTTTTGACGGTTGCACTTCTTAACAGTGGTGGGTAGAAATGTAAATGTAAATGGGAATCATGAGAATGATTCATATTATCAACTGGGGCTTGATGAATTCCCATTGAATAAGGAAATGAACATTGAAAAATATTATCATAACGACATGTAATATTTCGAATAATATTTGAAAGGTCCTTTTGCCCATTTTCAACTTTTTCCAATTCATCTAAATTTGTTATATGAGATTTTGAGATTATCATTGTTTCGTATGGCCATATTGCCCAAAATGGAACAACACAAATAAATGAATTATTCTCGTAAACAATTCTTGATTGACTTGATTGACTTGATTGACTTGATAATTTTAATGAATTTTCTTCTAATTTAACATAATCACATAATAAACATGAATTATTTTTTTCATAATATTTGGTCATGGATTTTAATTCTTTACTGATTTCTTCAGGGATTGATTCGGAACTCCAAACTTGACAATGTGGATGAGGATTTGAGCATCCCATGATTGATCCTTTATTCTCAAAGATTTGTACATAATTGATAAAGGGAATTGAAAATGAATTTTGATAAATTTTAGTCCAAGCCTGAATCACATGAATAATATCTTCCTCGGTCATTTCAGCAATTGTAATATTATGCTTGGGTGAAAAGCAAATCACTTTACATTCGCCTCTAACAATTTCTACTTTCAACAATGATGATAATGATTTATTTGATTCATCATCATTATCAATAAGTAATTTGGGTTGATTATTTATTAAGGCAGCATAGTCGTTATCAAAGACAAAAGTATTTGAATAATTTGGGTTCAAATTTCCGTTTGCACGTGAATTTCTTGGACAAAGGTAACATTGAGAATCATGTTCCGGTATTACCTTATCTTCTAATGTTTCTTGTTGACCTTGCCAAGGTCGTTTTGCTCGATGTGGAGAACATAAAATCCATGAATTGGTTAAAGGGTTGAAACGACGATGTGGATAATTATCTAATTCTACATTCATCTCGAAAGAATTCAGTCTGGTGTTTTTAAAATTTTGAATTTTTGGTAAAAAATAATTTTTTTTAATAACAAATATATCATAAAACTTTAAATAAAAGGTAGGATCCTCAAAGAATCAATCAAATACTTAAACGTGATTACTATATCTGGTAAATCCTTGGAAGTGATACCTGTCATGTGAAATATTCCATTTAATCTTTCTATAGTTTCTATATAGTACAATATAGTCTAACTAGCACAATTGGTACAATATCTTTCCCCAATATTATCTTTAGTCACACACACACACACAAAAACGTGCATCATTGTTTTTTAAAAATCTATTTTTAACTAATAATTAATCATTAATTCATTTCTGGTTAATATCTTTATTTAGATTGAATCCAGTTTGTTTATCCACCGACCGATTTTTTACCTCATTTTTTTTCTTGTGCATTTATTATGTAATTTTTTAAGAAAATCCAAACAGAATATCCTTTACATCATAACAGAGATCTAGAAATTTGGAAAATTCTCTATAGCTTACATGATAGAAATAGTAAGATGAATGTAAATGAATTTGACCAAGAAAGCATATAAATACAAAAAGGCGAAACGTGTTCGATTAATTATTTCCATCAAGAAATTCACATTTAACTCTTACATAACAATTGCCCCGTAAATTTTAAAAATAACAAAGAAAATAAACGAAAATTTTTTTTCCAGAATATTTCTTGGCATTTGTGCCAATATTTTTTTTAATTTTAGATTTTTAATTATTCTTGTTTTATTTATTTCTTTCTTTGTGATGAAAAATAAAAAAGAAATAGTTAAGTGATAATGGTGGAATTGTGAGATATTTGATTATTTGATTATTAAGGATTTGGGATTGGGACAGTAAAGAAGAAAATAAACTAAAATAAATAATTTAAAATAACGTAAGCATTTTAATGATATACTAATAATAAATGTTTTTTAAACCTTATTTTATTATTTTCGCGTTACCATAATTATTTTTCTTTGTCAATTTATCATATCTTTTTCTTTCTTTCTTCTTTCTTCTTTCTTTTAATGATAAATAAAAAATTTTTATTACATAACGTTACTAAACATTAATAAAAATTATTAATAATATTTATTACATTCCTAGCAATTTATCTACTTTACTAAATACAAATTATTTACTTACTACTACAATTATTTACTGCTGTGCTAATATATGGTTACTATTAATACCACTAAAAATTACTTCCGCGGTTACAAACTTTCTACATTATTAAGCTATCGGATTATAAATGCGATTGATCGATTTAACCTAAAATAGCAATCGTTCCGCTCTTACCAAAATTAGATTATGTTTACCGAACTTTGATGCACATACATTTTAATACATTTTATTGTTTTCATTTTTTCCATATTTATACCCTATATATATATTTACGTATTTGTTTCAATATTTAAAGATGTTTTTATAAAGTTAAGCAATTTCATATTATCTAACGTATTATGTTATCATCTTATTTGGTGTTGTATTATTTATTTTTTCCTAAATTATTAATTAATTAATTACTTATTTATTTATTTAAATTTCTTTCATTATATGCATCTAAATTAAAAGTTATTAAAAGTTGTTCATAGTTTATTAAAGTTACTAAAAGGTATTCATAGTTTATTAAAGTTTATTAAAATTCATCCAAGTTATAAAAATTTATTCATAGTTTATTAAAGTTTATTAAACTTATTAAAGTTATTAAAAGTTATTGATAGCTTATTAATGTTTATTAAGCTATTATTATATAAACTTTAAACCAAAGTAGATGTTTATGCCGAGTTATGCGCGCAAAATTATTAGTAAAGAACTTAAAAATACTAGTAATAATAATAAGGATTATGATAATGATAATGAGGATTATATAATTTCCTAAATAGTTAAAAATATTTTACCCAAAAATAGATTATCAATTACGTGTTACGTGGATAATAAATAAGCATGAACAGAAAAAGAAATATCAATAACTTGCCGTTTCAAAATTGTATTTAACTAAAAGTTCGAGTAATGCAACAACATATATATATATAAAGTATTACACAAAGCAAGTAAAGTGATATAAAGTATGTAAAGAATATAAAGAACGTAAAGAATATAAAGTATATAAAAAGTATATTTCACAATCACGTAAAAATAAAATTATTATAATAATAAAATAAATTAATTATAAAATATAATAAATAAAATAACTTTAATTATTAAATTTTTTCTTACCTGTAGAGCTATTATGGCACCGGGTTTTTTAAAATTATCTAATACTTATTTTGGTGTTATTGTTATTATTATTTTTTTTCTTGTAATTAAAATTTGGATCGCATACACAATTATTAATTTTTTTATTTGATTATTGTTTACTTGCACATATACATATACATATTTTAAATCTTGTTACGTGAAATAAATAATAATAATAATAACAAAAAAAAGTAATACAAGGACCAATCCAAAGAAGCGAAATTTATAGTAGATAGATTGAAAATCGCGTTCAAATATTTATATTTATTTTTATATTATAAAAAGGTGATATAAAACAAATCTTATTTATATAAAACGTATATACGACACAAGAAAGTAAATGTATATGCATATATATTTAACAATGATAAATTACGATATTGAATGAAAACGATTAATTTTTTTTCTTGTAATCCATAAATGGAATAAAAGTATGTTAGTAGTATATTATAAAAGTTATATTATATAAAAATGTATTATAAAAAATATATTATATAAAGATATATTATAAACGATATATTATATAAAGATACTATAAAAGATATATTTAAAAATGCGATCAAAAGAAAGAAAAGAGAGACGATAGATCACAATGTAATAAACAAATAGGTTGTAAGAATGGATCACAATATATTATAGAAGTAAACATTGTTATTTAAAGAAAAGGATTTGTATTCAAATTGTATTCGAATGCATGATAAGGGAAGAGTAAAAATTCTCAATGCAATGCGAAACAAAGGATTTGATGGATAAAAAAAATGCAGTAAAGAATAAATAATAATAAACAATAAATAATGGGAGTTCACAGGATCATTTTATTTGATGTAAAATTGGTTTAGTGCTTTTATTTTACTTTAAGATTCAATCTAAATTATTTTGGAAGTAATTATTTAATAATTTGCAATAATCATAATAATAAATAAATAAATAAACGATTAAACTAAAAAAGATTTAAAAAAAAAGGACATTTTTAACGCGTTAAAGTCTTATTGGTTCAGGCCTCTTTCTTTATTGTCATTATTATTACTATATTATTTATTTGGTATTTATTAAGAGTTGGAGGGAAGGAGAGAAGGGAGAATGATGACAGTTTTGTAAATTCCCGAAATAATTAACAAGGAGTCAAAAGAGTAAAAAAAAAAAAAAAAAAATTTAAAGTATCCGAAAAAATAAAGTATCATATGTATATAATATATTAAAATTTATATATTTATATATTTTAAAAATGTCTGTGATAATATCATATCAATTGATTAATGTCATGTATATATTATAAAGTATTTATATTATATAATCTATAATCTTTTATGATTATCTAAACTTTTTTACTTTATTTCATTCGTTCCCTCTAAATTTCTTTCTATTTTCAACTTCTTGTATTGAAATCATAATCTTTATTGTATTCCCTTTTAAATATACCAAATAATCCATCTTTTATGAATTTCCTTTTTTAATGTTTGCATAAAAAATTTAAAATAGATATATATATAATTATATTATAATTATAGTATAATTATTTATATAATTTTAGATAATTTAAGTTCAATAAATATGTTTATTATATGTGCATATATAGACTTAATACCCAGTATACGAAGAGAATGTTTAAATTTATAATTAAATTTAATGTTTAAATTAAACTTAATGTTTAATTTTAGGTGCATAATATTAATTTATTTCTATTTCATAGTATATGAAACATTCTAAACAATGAATTAAAAATAACAACAATAATAATAATGAATAATAACAACAATAATAATAATTAAAACGCGTGCAAAGACCCTGAAATGATGAACTATGAGGAGATATGTATATTTATATATTTATATATATATTTATAAGAATGAATGAACACGAGTACGTTACATTATTTAATTGTTGATCAATTTATTTATTTGAAAATCTGTTTATAATTAAATTACTTAAATTAGAATTTCATATAGGCTATTTGGTAAAAATTATTAGATCCTCAATTGTGATTGGCCTGTTTTAAAGATGTTAACTACCTTTTAACTTCAACAAAAAATGGTTAATATATTCGCCTATTTTTTACGACAGGTTGTAAATGAAACTTTAAACCCAAAAAAAAAACGTCCAGACTATACAACCGCCTCATTTATTTCATATTCTATTGCACAATAAAGTTGGTTTATTATGTTTTTTTTATGATTTTCATTTTAGTTTTACTAATAATATATTAATAAACATATAAACATGTTATTTTATAACAAAATCTTGAAATTTGTGTAACAAATTATTAGTTGATGAATCAAATGCGCCCATATGCTTTGTATCCCATGTATAGTAAAATATTAATTATCTAAAACAAATATTTTTGGTCAATCGGATCATTACTTTATATATCTAGATACATATTATATCCATATTACTTTCTTTAATACTAATACTTCTTTCATTACTTTTTATTTTATACATTTTCTTATGCTTCAAATGCATATTTGGTCATTTAAAGATAATTCCCCCTTATTATTTTTTATCAATTATGATTTTTTATGATTTTTTATGATTTTTTTTTTTAATATGACCATTAACACATGTGATCACATAATGATCGTCCATAGAATAAGAATATTTTCATATTTAATCAATGAGTTAATTACAATCAATCAATCAATCTATAATCAAAATTGCTATTACAAATCATCAAAGCAAATATGTTTAATGATTATATTATGCATAATAATGATTGAATGAGATTTCTAAATTCTCGAGTA